ACTTGGTGGCACATAGCCGGTGACCAATAAACACCATTTGCCCAATGAAAGCAAGCACAGGTTCTTGGAGGACTCCCTGTCCGCTCTGCACTTCACCTGTGCTTGGCACTCCCCCTCCCACTTAATCTTCTCAACCGCCCTGTGAAACGGGCCTTGCTGTCTCCATCTTTCAGACAAGAAAACTGTGACTCAGTTAACAGTTTGCTCAAGGTCACACGGAGAGCAAATGTCAGAGTCTCTGATTCTCAAGCTAGTACCTGAGCCTCCTGAGGCCAATACCACCTTCCTGTTGACACCAGCCTGGTGCTGTTTCTCAGCCAGGCCCCTTCCTTCCAGCTTTCCTTGTTGCCTGTGACTCTGCCTGATGAACATGACCTGGTTCTGGGCTTTATCCTCAAGTTCTGCCTGATGTGCCTTTTGTGCTCCGGAATCAGATTTCTCTGAGCAATACTGAGTCATCAATAATTGAAGAAAAGACGTATTTTAAAAAAACAAAACCAAAACAACTTCTCTCCCTCTGTCTTTATCTTTGCATTTTTCAAACAACCTCATACATAGGTGCATTGTCAAAGAAGGCTGTGGAGTAGGTGCTCACAATATCTGTCAACATTCAGAGCTCCTGATATCTGTCAAAACTCAGAGCTCCTAGTTTCTCCATTTTCAGTTTGGACAAGGTATTGGGCAGACACCTTCCAGGATGTTCAGTTTAATTTGAGGGAAAAGTCGCCTCGTGAGGGAAAGCTGAGAAAATACCTCCTCTATTTCCTCTTACTGGAGGGAGGGTATGGAATAGTCCATTGAATGTTATTTATTGTATAGAGACACAGAGGAAACAATTGGTCAGACTGGAATGTGGCGGATCCTGCGCCGACTGTTCCGTAGCCCAGCATCCTGCTCCCCTAATTCCAGCGAGCTTATTTCACCCCACCGCACTTCCCAATAATAATTTAATCCAAGTGGTTGTTGGCAGCGAGGTCTGTTCAGGAAGTCATCGTGGTGACTAAACTTACCTCACATGAAAGTGTTGCCTATGAAAACTTAACACCGCCCATCAGAGCCAGCGACCCAGGCCTAGATCAATGATGCAGCATCTTGCTTCTGACTGATTTTCTCAGTGATTTGTAAATCACAACATTGGCAGCATCTGTTTCTTGCTTAATGCTGTGGCCAAGTCTATTAATGATCTGCGTAACCTTGCAACTCACACTCATTCATACGCCAGCACTGACAGTGTGGCATCTTCTCTACCAGTTCCTAAGGTAAGGGGGTGGGGGAGAGTGAATTTAAAAATAATGTTAAAAGGAAGCAGGGTCCAAGAAGTAAAAGCCAATGGGTAGTCAGTGTAGACAGAGCAAATGCGATGCCCAGGAGGCGGAGCAAAATGCAAGGTTCTTCGGAGCAAGTGGAAGCTTAGGCCTATAGTCCTCGGGGAGCCTCGGCCACCCTCCTTCTGTTCTTCGTCCCATCGCCAACTGGTAGGATGCAGACCAATCTGACCACACTGGGTGGATCATCAAGTGTATTTTTAGGTTGTTCCTTAGCAAGCGATGGGGGTCGTACAGAAAATCCCCTCAGCTGTGTTTGGACTAAGTCTCTTGGTTTCAGATATTAACTCAAAAAGCGTGTGTTTGGGGAATCCAGGGTCCTACAGTTGGGGTCAATACCATTTTATAAAATGGCCCCAAACACCAGCCACTTTTGTTGTTTTTTCATTGTTTTCAGCCATAATAATAACATTCTAGGTATTTGGTGTCTTGACTAATCTGGCTGGTTTTTCTGCCATTTGTTGTGTTTCTGCTGGTGCCACGTGGCAGGTGAGCTCTGTCCTTAGCTATCTGTATGTTAAGGGATTGCTTTGTTCACACCAGGGGAACCTTCCATGAACAGGCCTTAACTACATCCTGTTGTCTCTGGTGAGGTAGAGGGGTCGGCCAGGGGAAGCAGGGGGCTCCCTGGAGTCATGTGCTACTTGTTTCACTGTGTGACCTTGGGTGAGGTAACAGCTCCAGGCTTCTCCTCTAAGGGGACAATCCCTCCCGGGCAGTGTGACAAGTAAGGATTGTGTCAGTGGTCCTGTAGCCACTATGCTTCTGCTCTTGTATTATCATTTAGTCTATTAAATATTTATTATTATTATTATTAGAGAGGATCACGTGTTTTATGGAAAACTTCTTTTAGTGATAGTTTTTAACTGATATTCCCCCAAGCTTGACATTTTTCCATTTTTACAGCTCAGTTTTCCAAGTTCTGAGTTGAAACATCCCTCTCTCCCGCTCTAGAGCTCTCTCCTCTGTTCCTTCCACACCAGAAGGGAGTGTTGCCAAGGGCGGTTCCCTGAGAAGTGAGTCTCCAAATGGCCAGTCCCACCTCGAGTCCACCCACTGCTGGCCAGGATCAGGAGCTCAGATGTCCTCATTTCAAAAACCAAAGGCTTACAGCAAATAATGAAACATTTCATTAAAGTTTTACTTCTATATGAATGGAAATTGTTAAAACACATTTATTTTATGTAACAAATTCAGGTTATAATTGCAGTTGTACTCTTAATTCTCCAAACAAAAAAATAAATCTAGTGGGGCTTGGAAGTAGGGAGGACAGTTGACCCTTAAACAGCACAGGGTTCGGGGCACCACCCCTTGAACAGTCAAAATCTGTGTATAACTTTTGGCTCCTCCAAGACGTAACTAAAGCCTCCTGTTGACCGGAAGCCTTACCAATAACATAAGCAGTTGATTAACACAGATTTTGTGTGTTATATGTATTATAAACTGTATTCTTACAGTAAAGTAAGGTAGAGAAAAGCAAATGTAGGAAAATAAGAAGAGAAAATACATTTACAGTATTTATTGAAAAAAATCCACATATAAGCGCACCAGCACAGTTCAAACGCATGCTGTTCAGCAATCGACTGTATAATGTTTCTGACACAATCACAAAATATCACAATATAGAATCCTTCCCTTCACATTTGAATTTCTGAGAATGATCGATCACAAGGAGGCTCGAAGATAGTAGAGTTTCGTCACTTTTCCCAGCAGCTTCTCTCCATCCCTGGCTTTTGAAATCATTCTTTCTGGAAGCCTCTTCTGTATTATCTGTGGTGATTTTATCTTTCTTCACGTGTCATGTCTGCCAGATCCTAATGGGCCAATGGCTCCCTGTGTGACTGGATTTGTTCTCCAACAGCACTTTCATGGACTTCACACAACATTTTGGCTCTTTCTCAAGATTTTCAATTGACTTTATAATCCATTTGCCTTGTACATGCCTTGTATTATCCAATATTTACAACATTAGGCAAACAGAGATATTGACCAAAGATAAAGGTCTAATAGCAAGACGACTAATTGGCTAGGAACTAATTTTATAATTAGGGATGGGGGTGGTTTATGATGACTTTTGATTCTCTACGCGCCTGGGAGGATCTGGAGAGTCACTGTCTGAATGTGGGGGACGCTCCTGCACTCTGTATGTGTTTACTGATTGAATGGAGGTAACCTCCCTTTGCTTCAGTGTCTAGATCTGCAAAGTGAGGCCCATGACATTCAAATCAGCAAGGACATGGATTTTTTTCTAATATGACCCAATGTAAACTGGATTAAAACTCATTGGAGGACCAGTGAAATCTAAAAACCCATTGCTGTCCAAAAAAACTTTCTACAGTGACAGAAATGTCCAAAAGTAGGCTCATTCGCTACAGCTAGTGTGGAACACTTGAAATATGACTGGTGCAACCTAGGAACTGGATTTTTAATTTTACTTAATTAACTTTAAATTTAAATCTGCATGTAGCCAGTGGGTACCATATTGGACAGCACAGCTCTATGAGGTGGTTGTCTCCTAAAAAAATGGAGAAAGTTGGTCAAGATTCTCGCTGGGGCCGAAGTAATATCCATGCAGCTAAGAGCTTCTTCAAATAGCAGGAGTGTGACCAGGTTACCCAGGGCCCCTCTGAGAAACCCCACTGCCCACCAAAGCCACCAACTCTTTCATAGAAGGTGCTAGCAGGCTTTTCATTTTCTGCTAATTCCCCACCACTGCCTAGTAATCAGGGATGAATCTTTCTGAGCAGCTCAATGCTGTACCTTTTGTGCCTGATTAAAACCAACTCCATGGATAGGTAAATGTCCCCGAAAACTCCAGCCTTGTGGTGGCCTGGAGCTAGGGGGAATTTAGCTCAGGGTAAAGATATGTTACAAATTAAATGTTGCAGTTGGTATGTAAAGCTGCAATAAATAGAAACTGAGTTACATCAAGGACAGAATTAAACCTTAAGTTTAAACTCCACAGCACTGTAATTAAAACTTAGCCTGTAGCAAATCATTCACTTGAGATTAAAGTAGTGTGGGGGAAGCAGAGGTTTGGGTTTACCTTGCTTTCCACAATTTATAAGTCTGAGCTACCAAAAGCTACCAGCCCTGCCCCCAAATCCAGCTCCCAATTAAAAACACAGTTTGAAAACCTTTAGGATGCCTGAGGGGCCCCTTTAACAGAAGTCTGCCCCTTCCCCCCCTGCCTAAGTCTATGAACAAATTAAAAAATATTACCTGGTCCCCTGATGGTCTTCTGAGCTGACACGGTGTTTTCATTAATACATCATTAGAGTAATGACATTGTGCTGGCGTTTTGCTTTCCAAACAGCCTGCACTTCAACCACTGTGAACACAGGCTCGGGGCCTCTGAACACTTTGTTCCTGGGAAATATTATTCACATAAAGGAAAGAAAGGAAGACAAACTGTAATTCATAATTTTTTAATGTGTATTTTCCCCCCCTCCTAATCTGGGATGTTCAGGCTCGCTTGGTGTTTTATTTTCGTTTGTTAGTTTTGCAGAGTAAACACTGGGGTTAGGTTAACCATGGCCTTAACTCCTAGAGCCAGCAGGCATTTTCAGTTCTCCCACAGCCCAAAGCAGGTTTCTCTCACGTTGGAAGTACGTCATTTTGTGTAAACGCAGTCTGAGGATACAAAGCTGAAACTGTGGTGTTTTTATTTTCTAGACTGTGAACTGTTACCTCATAGACAATAACGGATTTATTCTGGTGTCTGAAGACTACACACAGGTGAGCGAGAAATTTCTACCAACCCAGAGTAAGGAACTCAGAATGCGCTTGAGTCAGGGAAAGCAAATTATGGTGTTAAAACTTCGAGACAATGATCTATATTTAAGAGGTAATAGCAGGAGATTATAAAACCTTATTTCCATCCTTCTAAGAATGTCACAGCCCACTTCTCAGCAGGCCCCAAAGAGTTTTTACCTCCCAGTGGGGGTTGGTGGGGGGGGACACAGAGCCCAAGGTCTGCTCTCTCACTCATAAAATGTTCAATTTATAGAACTCTATGCCTCGAGGGTAGAGGTGCCTTAAAGAGTTTGGGCAATTTTAAGGAGGTTTCCTCCTTTTGATATTTTATCTTCACATATATATAATTTATATATACACACAGACACAGATATATTCCAACGTAATTATTCTTTATGGCTCTCTTTCTGGGTTTTGCTCTTTAAAAATCAGCAATCTTAGTTCAAGGATTAACTTGTGCTCTCGACACTGAGGGACAAGTATCCGGAGGCAGACAAAGAATGTTCTTCATTCGAGTGAGCCGTGTGCAGTGCGGGGGCAGGAGGGAAAGACATGGGGAAGAAAACCCACCAAGCTATGGGGCTGAGCACAGAAATCCCCAGTGTATTCAGAAACCAAAATAAGAGTTGAAATCCATAGCATTACAACTTTGTGCATTAAAACATTTTTTGCAATTAGAAGTCAAATTAGCCTATTAAAAGGCAGGGGTAGCAATGTGGTGTGTAATAGAGAGCTAAAGGGTCCTGGCAAGAGCTCTCGTCTTTAACCAGTTTTGGGGTCTTGTGTACATCAGTCAGCCTGCCTGGGGCTCCTGGAGGGCTCTGGGAAAGGAGAATGGTTGACTAGATAAGGCTTCTTCTAAGTCTAATATTTGAGGATACTAACATTTTATAATGAAGCCCCATTTAAATCATTTGAAATTCTTTAGTAGTCAATAGTGTAATAGGCGCATTATTGCTTAATAAATTAATTAGTTGTCCTGAAGTGTGGCTTCTTAGGGTCGGAGCTTAATGCTTGTTAATTTACAAACACTGGCCAGAGGTAATATGTAGAACTGTGCTGTTTCCTCTCTATCCGTGAGCTTGTTGTGGGATTTTTAAATGCAGCTTTGATGGGTGAAAACTCGTACTGTTGACACTCAAGCTGCCCCACACCCCATCTCCTCAGATGCTGGACATCACTGGACATTGGATAGTTAATGGATATTAGATCAGAGGAACAAGCCCATGAAACAGCACCAGTCTCTGAGGGAACAGGGAAGTCCCCAGGCCTGCGGTAATACGTCCGCTTGGCCGGGAGGAGAAACAGTGAGATACTCAATGTGTGGTGATTCACAGAAACTAGACTTCTGGTGGTGAGCACGCCATAGTATTACAGATGCTAAATTATAATGGGGCACACCTGGAACTTACATGTGATTAACCAATATTAGTGCAATTTAAAAAAAAAAAAAAGAATCACTGATGGAGCAAGAACCCAGATGAATAATCCGTGAGGTGGAACTCTGTCCGTCTGCCAGAATCATGAAGGCAAGATCGGAGCCTGATCCTGGGGGAGGAAGGCGCGGGGGTGTCTTCCACTGTGAGTCCTGGACTAGCCCAAAATGTGAACCAGGAAAGAGCACCTCTAACAAAGCCCAGCCTTAGGCGTGGGCTGTCCCCTGCCGGACCTCTCCCTGGAGGAGGCCCACAGCCCTGCCTGGGGAGCCTGCCTCTGCCCAGGCTTGCCTGATGTTGTCTGGCTTCCTGCACCCCAATTAGGATAATTCTTCCTCTAATAACCAGTTCCATTGACACCGGCGTATTTACCCGCACGAAACACGAATGTCCTTCTTGCTCCTAGCGGCCTCACATGCCCACAGTTGCCAAGGTTCCAAGTGTCCCTCAGTGAAAAAAAAAAAAGGCAGTGAGATGTTTCCTATTTCTCCCTCACCCTTTCTTGACTTTTTGGCAAAGCGTACGTAGGCCTTTCTGCCTGAAAACTCCAAGGAGCGTGATTGAGGTCACTGTGCAAATGGAACCGGGATTTAGTTAATACCAAGCCTATGGAACGTATTAATTCAGGCTCCTAGAGTAATGCCCTCCGCCGAGCCACAGATGCGCCGTAAATCCTCGGAGCAGCCACGGTGGGGATGGGCTTCCCTCCTGGTGCGCACTGGCCCGGTCCAGGCGCGGCGCAGGAAGCCGGCCTGCTGGAGTGCACGCACCTCCCGGGGGGACACCCGTACCTGGCTCCAGGCACCCGGAGGGATGCGTGAGGACCTTAGTCCTTTATTCCACCATTCGGAGTTGGCAAACCTCGGCCAGCTCCCAGAACTAGGCTCGCAAAAGCGTCAGCCTAGCGGCGGGGAAGGGCTGCTAGGCCTCAGATGCCCTGAAGACAGCCCCGGGTTGGGGTAGGGGTAGGCCACGGGAATCTGACGGCCCTGCTGTGTCCTCAGGGGACAGGACTGTTCTCTTCCATGGGCAGAATGAGAACCTTCCTCAGAAAGTCACTTTGAGACAGGATATATTCTCAACTATAGGAAATTTATAGGGCCGATGAAGAGAACTGCTCTATTTCCCTAAACAGGTCATCCAGGATTTATAAACAGTTCTTTTTATTGATGCTCAGGAAGCCCTTTCACAGCCTGTTTCTGTCTGTATGCAGTAGGGTTTTAATCACAAGGGACTGAGTGCAGATTAAAGCTTACGCTATCCAGGGTCGCGGTGTGCGTGTGTGCGTGTGTGCTCACGCACGCGTGCACTGGGTTTAATTCCAGCACTCAGCACGTGTTACGTGATGCAACACCCCCACCCCACCCCTGCCATGCATCGCGCATTGTGGAACATTCCCCTCTGCTCACTAGTTTGCGCTGTAATCCCATAAATTCTCATGACTGTTAAGACCCTTCCCCCTTTTATGTAACAGCCCTGAAAAGTCACCTTTGGCTCCGGCCAGCCCCAGGACACAGCCCGTGTCCCTTTTCTTCCCTCTCCGGTGCTCGGGCCGTTTTTTCTCCGCACTTCCTCACCCGTCTTCTTTTCTCCCTCACAGACTGGAGACTTTTTTGGTGAGGTCGAGGGAGCTGTGATGAACAAATTGTTAACAATGGGCTCCTTTAAAAGGTAAGGATTTTACGGTCCCCTGCGCCCCCCGAGAAAGTTTGCCTAAATAAAAATAAAACATACCAAGGTCAAATAAAGCAAGCCCAGACTTGACCCCGTGGCTGGTTTGTACTTGTGTTCGTGCTCCAGAAGATCTCGCTGAAACCCGATGCCTCTCCGCGAGTGTTAAGAGTCTTAGAAACTCAGCTCACAATGAGTTTCCTGTTCCCCCGGCGCAGAGTTTATTGGAGGCCGATATTGAAGTTGGAGCCTGCCCTGGGACACAATTATATCAGTCGCAAGCAAGCGACTGCAGAGGGGTAGGAAACGTTTTCACCTGGTCAAAAAGGAGAACATTTTGTCTCCCACTGACAAACCAGGGAAGCTTGGTAGAAATCTGGGGCTCAGGGATGGAAAGTGATATTTAGAGACTTGATGATATAATTGTAGAAAATCAATGAAAGGTCTCAACACTTACTCCCAGCTGGAGGTAAGTTTAAATCTGCTGCTAGAAGAAAACCCAGATGGCTCCAAATTCCTCTGGTGGAATGTACTACTCAACTGGGCCCTGAGAGCTCTCACCCACCCTGAGTGAAGCTTCCTCCCAGGCCGTCCCCGGGGATGGCCTGCGTGCTCTCGGGGACACCAAAGCCTACGGGAAAAGCCATCACCCCAAGAGATCAGTATGCCAGGAATGTCCTCAGGGAGTCAACCTATCTCCTTCCCTTGGCCTCCCGGGAAATGGTGGCCTTTAGAGTGGTGCTTTCATGGGCATATTTGATGCTGTTAAATATGTAATAGCAGGAAATAGAAGGATGGGCCTTGACTCACCACTGGTCGCTGGTGGGAAGGGCGGTCTCCCATTGACCACTCTCCCTGAATGGCCAGGAAGTGTTAGCTCAGGAAATCAGACTTTTAAGCCAGTCAACAAGACCCACTGAGCACGGTGCTGAAAGCAGGGAATTCAAAAATGATGACCTGATTTTTGAGATTCCATAGCTTGTTTGTGCCAGAAGGAGGGGAAAAAAGAAATGATAGAAAAATTGGCGGAACTCCAGCCCTTCTGCAGCCTCTGACACACTTGCTCCAGGGCCTGCCTGAGCAGACTGCTCACTCCTGCTCGTTCTGTCTTTAAAATTCAGGTACAGGCTTTTGCTTTTGTGCCAGGAGTCGTGCATATGTGTGAAAGCTGCCGGGTGCTGGGCTGGGTTGCTAGGGACTTTTTCTAGAGTTTTTCTGGATTTAAAATTTCCAGGGAAGCTCCTGGATCATCTGCCCCCGGGGGCACCACTGGTTCTGTGTATCTCTATGTGGCTGTGTCCATTTGTATCGTGTTAGCATGTTTTCAGCTTGGGAGTTGGGGGAGACAAAAGATAAAGAGTAATCACACACGTGTTTCTCATCGCAAAGCATAATTTTCAAAGTCTTTAACAAAATCTTTTATTTTTATTTTTCCTCTTGGATATTTCCTTCAAAGAGTTTGGTGGGAGAAAGAAAGCTGTTGTAGAGTTGAATTTTAAATTCCTAGTCTTCTCCTTAATGTGGGTGAAGTGTGATTGGCATGAATCTAGAACATTCTTTCACTGTGAGAGTAGCTAATATAGTTGAGGAAGGGGAAAGACTGGGGACTTTTCTCAATTTTAACAGCAACTGCTGTCATCTGGGAGTCAGCTGACAGGCCTCCTGAGCCTCTTGGAAAGGGCTCCTCCCTGGGGCCAGGAGAGTCACGAGAGTTTGGGTTTAGGAGTCAGTGGATTGGGTTCAAACCCCACTCTGACCCTGACTAGCTGCATGACTTAAAACAAGTCAAGTTACCCCTCCAAGCTTTGGTTTCCTTACAGGGAAAATGGAGATGATAGTAATAATTACTTCCATGGGCTGCTGTCCGAATTAATGAGATAATTATAAGCATAAGGTTCTTACACAGTGCCTGGCACATGTTAAGGGCTCAGTAATTGCCAGCTGCTGCTGTGACCTTTGTTGTTATGGATCTTGGCTCAGCCTTGGCATTGCTTTCTCCTTGGCACCAGGCAATGCTTCCTCTGCACTCACAGGTCTCACCACGGGCTTCCCACGACACTTGGCGATGGGTCTCCAGTGTCGGGGCCCTTCTAGCAGGCAGTGCTTACGGCGCAGGTGGACAGTCCTTCACTCAGACCAGTATTTCAGAAGCACTTAAAGGCTATAGCTGGGAGTAACAGTGCTCTGGGAAAGGTCATGCATCATGTTAATCTGAGGCCACCTCCTCCCTAAACCAGGACACTCGGAGGCTGAGTTGCTCCAGTGACATGGCTGGGCCCAGGTAAAGCTCAGGAATGGGTGGCTGAGATGACCTTTGATATTAGCACCTTAATCAGTGCCTGAATGGCGCTAAGGTGGTTTTTTTTTTTATTTGATCTGCTCATACCCAGTCCCAAACAAATGAGTTTCATATACAAGAAGCCTACAAACCATCTGCCCCAGAAAGAGCTCAGAGAAGAGCACCATCTCCCTCTATCAACCTCCCTTTGTAACCCCCCCGGTCCATGTCTGCTGCCTCTCCCTGATGCTTGCCGATGTGGCGGTGGACTCTTTTCCTGGCTGGTCTGACCCCTCACCTGGTGACCTGATGGCCACTCTACCTAGCAGTGCCATCGGAGAGAAGGGACACTCACTTCTGCTTCTGCAGTGCCACATAGAAGGAAGGAAGGCTACCAACTTGTGTGAACAAATGACCACTTGAAGGAGCATGTGCAAACCATCTAGGAGACAAACGGTCACTCTTGGATGTTTAGTTGAGTCTCTGATGTGACTCTGGCCACCCAGCATATGACATAGCACCAGGGGCCAAATAACATACCCGTTGCTTCAGTGATGTGAGAATATAGATCACCAGGGCTATCTTCCCTGAGCCCTTCCACGCACCAGGCCTGGGTGGCACCTGAGAGATTGTACCGCTTGCAGTTCTTTCCAACAACCCAGTGAGACAGCTGTGGACAGGACCAGCTGCACAACCAACAGGACACAGTGCAAATGGCCACGTGGGGCCCTTTGTTCCAAAAGTGTCCAGAATTCCAAGACAGCAATAGCAGAGCATTGAACCTAGCATGGGGCCCTTCTAAGAAAGAGCAGGGTCCTGTGCAGTTACACAGGCCATGTGCCCATTACCTGGCCCTGGGTATAAATATACTCATATTATAGATGGAAATAATGAGGCTTGGACAAGTTAAGAACTCTCCCTAAGCCTCTGTGTAACAGAGCTGGATTCAACTATCTTGTGCTCTGAGCACAGAGAGAATTTTCTAGCGTCTGCCCTTGACCTGGTTCTATGTAAGATTAGTGACTGTATCTTCCTTCAGCTCACTTGAGAAGCTAAGGATGGCTGAGGAAGACGTTGTCTCAGCAATGTCTTATCTGGGCAAGCAGAACTTTCAGGATGGGAGGCTGGCTGAGTGATACGATCACCCAGATTTCTTTTAGCTGAAGTTGACAAATCGTTGACCCAAGACGAGTCCCCAGGCCTCCCTTGTTTTCTCATAAGATACCATGTGCCTGGTCAGCTGTTTGTATCACAGACAGAGCTTCAACTGCTCCTGCATCCTTACCACAGATAGTAAGTGGACTCCCTCCCTGAGCAGTGACTCATTTAGGGTTTTTCGTTTCAGCTGTTTTGCTTTTCCACTCATGTTCATGTCTAACGAGAGCCTTACACTCATGTTTCTCAGAATCCACACTCTGTGGTCCCCTTGGGTGTCACTGGAAGTGACATGTCCCCTCTGACAACTACTGAGAGAAAACCTAGTTGTCCAGTTTCAAAACATTTTCATTGTAATTCACTTACCCCTCCTCATTTCCTTGCCCCCAGTGATGCAAATTCAATGTAAAATATGCAGGGTGATGTGGGGAAATGTATGTAGCAAGTCATAGGAGAAGATTCAAGGCTCCTGAGAGGGCCTCTGTGACACACTGGACTTGAAATAAGACACGGGCTGAGCTCCGGAGTCACCACCACGTGGCCTAGGACAGATTCCTCAGTCTCTTTGAGTCTCAGTTGTTGTTGTTGTTTTCTTGTCACCAAAATATGGACCTGTGGGGGAGGGTGGTGAAAATCAACTAAAACAAAGACATATGAAAATGCCATGCAAATCGAAAAGCTTTGCAAACAGCAGCTAAGATTAGCTCTTGGATAAGAGCACCCAAAATCAGATCTTTTTTTTCCCTTCCTTTTTTTTTTAGACTAATGAACTCCAAAATGTGGTTAATGCACAGCAGTTGCCTCTGTAGCACAGCCTTCAGGGTGGGCCTGTGAGCCTGGCCTCTGCCAGCATCTCCTGGAAAGCTTTGCAAACACACCTATGCTGGGCTGCACCCTAGGAGATTCCTATTTAATTCTTCTGAGGATGAAGCCCAGGCGCTGATGCTTTTTAAAAGCATCCACGTGATTCCCATGTGCAAGCCTGGTCAAGAAATACTAAGTTGAAGGCACCCGGTTATCAGTCTAGATGCTGCCCACTTTGGAGCTGCCTGAACTTGGGCAACTTGAACTCACTAGATTTCAGTGTTCTCTGCAGCAAAACAGAACTGAAAGAATTCTTCCTAAACCTGCAAATGAGGGTTAAATGGGATAATGCATGCTTTTAGCAAGCATTCTTGTGGTTTCTGCCAAGGGGTCTTCCCTTGTTCTTTGTGTATCTAATTAAGCTTGAGGAAGGAAAGACCAATTGGGCACACCTGGCCTTTGGCTTACAGAAAAATAGACGGCTTGCTAATAATTTGTTTTTGCTTTGGGAGCTACTAATGTTTCCTATCTCTCTTGGCTGTGTCTTTTCTGTTTTGTTTTATTTTGTTTGTTTGTCTTATGTGCTTGATGCAACATGCCTAAGCTTTCCCCCCTACAAGACCATTCCTATGTTCCCTGTGGGGCTGGGGAATGTCCTCCTCACCTTGCTCCACGCACATTCATTAAAGGAGTTGACCTGTGTAGAATTCCCTGTGGCGGCTCCTTCTGCTGTTTACATCTTCTTTCTAAAAAGGTGACACTT